GCTTTTTATAATCAAAATATTCTTGAGGATTGAAATTTAGCAGCCAATCGTATATACGAAACAAATGAGACAAGATAGTATTGCTAGTATTTTAGACTATCATTGTGGTACTCCTTATGATCAAAAAATAAGCCTATATTTAGGAAATGTGGGTGGTACCAGCGACCAGAAAGTATTTCCGTCACCAATTTACTTTCTTGTAAAAATTTTTGAGGAGCGTTTTTCTGTCTGAAATAACTCCTTGTTCAACATATAACAATTGTAGAATAGAGGAAAAAGACCATAGAACTTGACGATTGGCTTTCGTTTCCCTTGATTATAGAATTTGCCTAAAAGTGATAAAAAACCTGAAAATATGATCAATAGCCTTCTGATCTATTTAATCAAGTGAATACTTATGAATAGATTTACTTCGACGATTATAATAATTTTGATAAATTCTAAATCGCTTATAAATCAAACGAATGCCCTTGATACATAAATACAATAAGAATGAATTATTTTCGGGTAAAATTTTTTTTCAATTTTTATAAATGATTAGAAAATAAAAATTTTCAAGGACGTTAACCCTACGAACCTTATATAAATTGATGAATTATTCGAAATATTTTTCCTATTTAAGAATTTTATAAAAATGCGTCATTTATAAACCTTTAAAAAATATTTCGGCAAAAAAAATTTTAAAAATCTCATTAATTAACAAATTTTTGATTATTTGATTTTTCTTTTTTCGTAACTCATTCATTATTTATTATTTTTCTAATAAAAATTTTCAATTTTACCATTTTTAATTTCTGAGGATTGTTGTCGATGAACAAATAAATTATTAAATAGATTATTCATTAAATTTCTCGACAGGAATAAATTTATCACCTAAGAAAAAAATTCCGATGTTGACGCGACCCATTTGTACTTCATTTGCTAAAGCCGTTCAGTGATGACTTAGAAAAATTTCTAACCATATGAACTGCCCGTTGCCGAGCAAAATTTAATTGGAAATGGCGGACCTTAATTAAATTAGCTAATTTTATTGGTAAGCGTATCGATGGTTGAAAAAATAACCCTAATGCATTAATGCCATGAAAAATACGTGTCAGTACAAATTCCTTGCTTAAAGTACTTTAAAAATTTATCAATTTATCAAATTAACGTTCTAACGTTGATTTATCAGCAGTTTATAATAAAATAGCAGTTTAAACTAGTAATTTTTAAATAATATTTCCTTATCACAAAGCAAAAAAAAACAGACCAAATAATTATCAAAAAAATGAACATTTAAAATTCATTTAACCATCAACACGCTTGGGAAGTGAAAATGCGCAAAATTTTTTTGCTTTTAGCCCATGTATGGAGTTCATATCCTCCCGAAAATCCTTGATTTTTGTTTAAAAATTCTCAAAAAACTATTCAAAAAATCTGTCATTATTATTGCTATTCAATTCCATTATTAAGACCATTATTATTTTCTGTTTATTACTATTGGTTTAATGGCAAACTTTCGTTTTCTTTCTTTATGTTCAACGAAGGGGATTTTTAAAGAATTTTTATTTTTTTTTTTAACGACGAAGGATCAAATAAATGTCACTTTCACAAAGGAATTTTTATTTTCAACTAATTTTGTGTCGCAAAATGATTGCATATCACTTTTTTTATCTTTTTTTCTGGCAAACTATTATTAATAAATTTAACAATTTTTAAAATCAGCAATAAAATCTTGCTGAAACTGTTTTTATAAACACAAAAACAGTCGAAATAAACTGCTGTTTTTGCCAGTAAATAAGAGGTCGCAAAGGTGTTTTATGCACCACACCGATTTGTTGGACTTAAAACCATATAGACAACCATATTTATGAACCAACTTCTCAACATTTTTTTTTGTGCAGGCAAAAGATTCGAATTATTCCTTTCTTTCGCTAAATAAGTAACTAATTAGTATTTATCATTTTTGAGAAGGCTTCAGTTAAAAATTTTTACTGGAGAGAGTCATGTGGCGGTACGTCACCAGCATTTTGGGCTCTCAGCTCCAATACGGTGACTTGAACCACATTCTACTTGGCTTATTAGATTTTTCACATTTTAGTTTATTATTGCATATCGTTCTTAGCTAGTTAGCGCTTCCTATTTATTCGATATTGTCGAATAATCAAACCGTAATCCCTTTAAAATTCTGTAAAATTCTGTAAAATTCTTCCATCGCTGCAAATTCAAGATCAATTTGACGTGAGACATTAAATATTTATGAATTTAGTTTTCGGATTTATTTAGCCCTTTTATTTTATTTTTTTTTCAGAATATTACAATGCCAGCGTTACACAATTTGATGTATCTAAAATTTCAATAATCGTTAACTTTTCAAAATTTCTAAAATTTTGTAGATTTTTCCACATTTCAGCTGTAATGCAAAATTTATTTAACTCAAATTAGCCAAAAATGCCATTTTTTCACCCAATAATCGAATAAAAATAACCAAATTTTATTAAAAATTTTATAGTCAAAAAATTCGATTTCTGTTTGCGATAAATCATTTATCTAAAATTGATGAGCAATTGAACATTATTTATATGTTTTTGAAGTATAGACGATGTGTTTGCCATAAATTTTTCTTTTACTAACGAATTTCTAACTTTTTTGAAATTTTATAATGAAAAATTGAAAAAAGAAAAAAGTTGAAATTTGGCTGCTTTTATTAACTATAATGATCCGCGAATTTCTTCCTTTTCATTTGTAAATTTACCGAAATTTACCAAAAATTTTTTTGTTTCTATAATGAATAAAAATTTAATTTTTAATTTATATTATTTTAATTTATATTATTTAGTTTATTTAATTTTTATAACTATTTATTCATCGAAATAAATGAATTTCTCAAAATTTTAAATCGTTGAACCGAAAAATATTATTTTAAATTTCCATTTCTCGCATTGAAATCGCTCTGAAAGCTTTATTTAATATTTATTTAATGTAATTTTCTGTTATATTTTTTCGATTCATTTGTAAAGTTACAATAAATTATCGCGAATTTTTCGAAAAAAACACTATAATTTGACTTAGAAGGGTTCAATGGGTTGTTGCTCTCCTTTCGTAGCGTCGATGCTCACGGAGTGAATCTGCGTGTCTTTAAAAAATCCGAGTGGTGCTGACGCTCACCACTCCTAAGTCTGTCGCCAAGCAACTCACTGGTAAAATTTATCATATGTGACAAAACCAGCGGAACGAGTTAAAACAATAATCGCTCTTAACAAAAAAATACGCTGAAAAATAATCTAGCAAAAGATTTCAAAATACCTGCGAAAGTTTTTTTTTGCAAAATTCTTGACAAACAAAACTATTTTATCGTATCTAATTCGAAAAATTCTCGTTCCTAAAGTTTTCCTTTTTTCAACGAAAGTTTCAGCCGGAAATGTGATAATAAATGATAATAAAAAACAATTAAGATGAGCGAAAACATGTATGAAAGTTTTCTAAATCTTTTGTAATAATTTGCATTTAAATAGCAAATTTTCAGAACTCAAATTTGCAAAGATATTCGATTGTCGAAAAGCATTATAAGTACGTGGATTCCAACTGCCAAAATGGCCAATTTCCGCCAGGTTTTTTTTTTTTTGTTTTTTGTTGTCTATTAATGCTTTTTCATTTAAAGTTGCTACTTATTGATACAGTGGAAGAAAAATTAAATTTTTCAATATTTCTTAGAGGTTTATTTTTCAGATATTTTTTGTATTATTTTACATGAGTGTTACAAATGCGCAAATCTCTCGAAAATGTTAGTTTAATTCAATAAATATTTTCGCTGTTCATTTCTTTCAAATATATGATTAATATTTTTATAAATTATTGGTTTTCTAGCAAAATGTGTCGAATCGCCATTGGATATATTCTTAGCCATAGATTCCACTGCTGAAAATATCGATATATTTCAAGATCGAAAACGAAAACTTATTGAAGCTGTATGGTTCGTACTTCACGTTCTTATCTTATGAACATTCAGATGGTGTGTGGTGCTAGAAAATATCTTCTTGCCCACCTATCGACCAATTCTTTCGATTTTAGGATTTTCCAGTGATTTTCACGGAGAAAATATTGAAATGAATGTATTATTGAAAAATAAGCAATGCAAAAATAAAGATTTATTCATATCAGTTCTATTTTAGAATATATTTTAGAAGTAAAAAAGAACTTTAAATAACTTTAAATTATATAATTATTATATTTATAATAATTGAATTATATAATTATTATACAATAATTTATATATAATTATTATATATGTATATTGTATAATTATTATCTCGCAGGTATCTCGGTAACGTAACAACAAACCGTGATGTTTTATATGGTGCTGCAGCTTTCCACGAGAAACCTATGATTCTTGTTTCTTTAGCTTATAACCGAAACACTGAGGTAAATTTCAAGAAATTTATGAATCACTGATAGTAGATTTCAAGTTGGCTTCTATTTTTAAATACGATCGAATTATAACCGAATTATTCTCCCAAGCATTGGTTAAGTAAAGAGCTTTAAATTCTTAAATTTGTAAAACAAAACGCGAAAAAAAGCGCCGAATTTCTAAAAAAATTTATGCTAAGCGTACTTCGTTTTAATTTGGGAATACCTCCAGCATTTTTATAAATGATTTATTTCTCATTAAAAGGTGAATAAGGTGAAATAAAAGGTGAAAATAAAATATTTCTGTTAGCACACAGAGGAACATTAAAATCATTGCACTTCATTGCACTTTTAGTATTTCCATAAGAAGATAAGATTCTATTCCTGAAGATTGCCTCTTGATTGCCTCTTTTTGTAATTTTAAATTTTTAGACCAAAAAATGAACTTTTTAAAAGGAACGATTTTAGTAAGAGTGATATACTTTTGCCCGTAAAGTTATGCTAAAAATGGAACTGGAAAGTTCAATAAAATGCAAACAAAATAAATTTTCGGGGACAAATAAATCGAATTTTTTCAAATGAAATTGATTAAGATACTTGATCGAATTTCAAATATGGACCCATTTGAAACCAACGTTCAGTCATCTCCAGTAAAAGTTTTGCAATTAGCCAACGATATATTTTTTGTAAATGGGAGGAAACCAGCGAGAAAATTATTAATCCTTGCACATGAAGGAAATTCATCAGATTTAGTTGCTGAAACTATCGAAACGAGGTTTTCTTTATGATCATCGTAATTTTTTTCGATTTCTTTAGGAATTTTCTCAAATTTTTTATTTGCCATATTTAAAATCAATTGATATTTCGAAGTTTTGTGCTTTTCTATAAATTTTTTAGTTCTTTATTAAAGTTTTTTCTCATGTTTTTTTTCTCAGTTCATTTCATTTTTTATTTTTCATAGACATTAATTTTTTTGTTAATTAGAACTTAAAAAATCAAAGAAGTAGGAGGAGGATTTTCAAAAATCTTATTAAAATAAATAAAAGGTTGATTAGCGCTCAATATTTCTGGCGGCCTTTGATGGTTGGCGTCAAAAGCGAGGACGGCCAGTCAAGAGCTGGACTGACACGATCAGGAAAGATTTTGAACGTATAAGTGGACCAGTGATATATGGACTTAGACGATGGAAAAAGGAGTGAATGGCTTATATGGTTTATATTACTATCCGAGATGGATTCGGTTCGAACAGCTTGGAGACATCTTGTCGTTGTAGCCAGCGGAGCCTAATCAGTAATAGTTGGTAAAAAGATTTCTGGCGGCTAGATGGCTTTCTCCTTTGGCTGTTACCACAACTAGAAATTTTTGCTAGAGTTAGTGGTAATATTATTATTCGATATTGTTCGTTGTCCTTTAAGCGGACTTTTCTATAACCAATAAAATAAACAAGCATTAAAGTCAGTTCGTTAACTGACTCACTGACTCTCTCTTTCTTGCACCAAATGCACCAAATTTTTTCCTTATTTTTATATTGCAAATTTTTTTTCGTTTATAAATTCTTCACTTGGGAATCTATTGCTGAAATGTCCGTTTTTAAAAGGTATACAATTTGTTCCATCTATTATTCTCTCTTTATTCGTTTCTACTGTCATATGAAGAGGAATTTGAACAAATGAACCAGAATTTGGTAAGCAGAAGAAATGAAAAAGAGAATAGACTGCTTGGCAAAGTGGTGTAGGCGAATTATTCTTTAAAAATGCTAAAAATGATTGCAAAGAAATGATCTAACGGGGTTTCAAGGATTTCTAAAGTGGTACGAGAGGTTTCATTGGCGATTTCACTGCTTATGGTTACGATTCATATTTCTTCGTCTGAACGTATGACTAATCAACGAGCATTTGCAAAATAATTATCATGTAGATTATTCTTAGTTCTATTTCTATTTACTTCTTATTGCAACAAATGAATTTGCGGAGAAATATTTTCAGAAATGATTTGGATAAACGAGGTGTGGAAGTATTTGTTATATCATCGAATAATAGCAATATTGCTGCTCTTACGGGTTATTCTAACGATCGCACTAAAATCTTCCGGAACGAAGATGATCGTTATGAGTTTTTTGAACGTCTCAATAAGGTTTTTCTAAAATCGCTTAATAAGAATTTTTAGGACAAGAATTTAGCTTTCATTAGATTTTTAAATTTTTTACTCTGAGTGGGGAGGGTGGGGGGCGCAATTATGAGGTTTCATTCTTTGATCAAAATGAACCTGCCATTGAAATTCTAGTATTCACTGAAGGCAGTGCAACTCAGTGCTCCTAAAGAATACTGTCGTATGAGTCTCTCCTTAATAAGCTATATAATTAGTGGAACCAGAAATGGCTATAAGAAAATATTGCTAATTTTTCTTTTTATTTAATTATTATAAGTAATATTTATCTACTATTACGACCTACTTTTTAGGCGATTGACTCATGCAAATTTTCTAAAGTTTTCAAGAAATTGAATAGTTCAGTCGTTCAAGGTGCACTAATATACAAAAAGTCAAACGAAATAAGAAAAATGGAGATGTTTTTAAACACAAATGATTCTAAAAGCACATTGTGTAACTCTAAAAAAGTAAGTAAATAAGTATTTTTTGTTTATTTGATTGACAAATGAGGAGGCACCCCATGTTGAAAATTTGGCTGAGGGCTGAAACTTTCACTCGACACGAGCAAACCTATCATTTAAAAAAAAATTTGGTCTGATTACTGGAGATCAGTTGATTTTTCTTCTGACTCCAAATAGCCTTAAGAAGAAACTCATATCAGTGAAACCTATCAAAAATGATAATCAATTTTAAATATTATTCAGATTGATTTGTTAATCACAATCGACACGAGTGGATCGGTATATAGAGCATTTAATGAGGAGCTAATTTTAATCACTAAACTTATTCAGTCACTCATTAACTCAACTTTAAGCGATAATTTAAAGGTGCAATAACATTCATTTATACAATGAAATATTCGAATATTTGAAACGATTTCGCAAGTTTTTCTTATTACTCCTTAAAAAATTTTGGATAATATTGTAGATAAGCATCATCAGTTTTGCCTCGACAGCAAACATTGTGGTACCTTTCACTCATTTAAACAGTTCATTGCTAAAAACTATTGAAGAAATAAGTTTTACCGGCGGTGATACTCATATCACTCACGCTATCAAAATCTCATTGGCTGAAATCGAAAGAGCTAGAAGGCAAGATGCTATCCAAGTAAAATTTTTTCAAACTCTTCGCAGTTTATGATTAATTTATATTTCGATAATATATCTGATAATTTGACCCTTTTTGATAACTTATATCTTGATAATATATCTGATAATTTGGCAATTTCTAATAATTTATATTAGTGGTAAATAAAATATAATCCAAAATTCCTTATATGCCAACCAATAAAAGAATAAATCTTTGCGTAAAAAAATCAGTTTCTCGTTGAAAAATTTTCTTTTAGGTAATAGTATTGATAACAGATGGACATGGACAAGAATTTTGGCATACCGTACAAACAACGAGTCGGAAACTACGTGATGCAAACGTTGTCGTTTTTTCTGTATCTGCAAGTAGTGATTACAGTTTAGCTGAGTTGACTCTCTACGCTGGTGACATTAACAGAGTCTTTGTTGGTGATCATTATAATGAGTTAGCAATTTATTTGTGGCGATGTTTTTTTCCACTATAATTTATTTCTTCTTATTCAATGCCAAATATTTCCTCAGGAATATCAAAAAGATTTTCTATTGATTAAGATGTTTCCGCATTTTAAATTAAAATTCAAAACTAAATTTAAAACTAGGAAATTAGCAAATTTTCCCTTAATATCTTTGTTCCATCTTATAGTTAATTTCTGTGTTAAAGTGCTTAAAATATTCTTAAATATATCACCAATCTCATTCACCAATTTCATTTAGATTCGTTCCGACCTTTATGTCTTCATTAAATAAGTGCATAACAGAAACTTCGGATTTCGATGTGGAACAAGGAAATTTGGTCATTCAGTTGGATGATCTGAATGAAAGTATGATTATTCAAACCAATAGAAATGGAGGGAAATATTGTCAAATTTCTTGTGGCTTAAAATTAAACTGGCAGATAAGATTTACCTTTTAATAGCTCTTACCATTACTGGTTAGGCTGGCTCAGTTGATTACAAGAATAAGATTGCTTCCAAGCTGTTCGATCTGACGCATTCCTTTTTCCATCGTCTAATTCCATACATCTCCGGTCCTCCTATAAGTTCTTTCCTGACTATGTGTCCAGGTCTTGATTGGAACTCTTTTTGGCTCCATTCATCAAGATTTGGCACCAAGATTTAGCAAGTAACGAAATATGCATGTGGTGGGCGAATATGCTCTAGCCAGCGAAGACGACGCTCTGTGGTACTACTGTTAATGCAAGTGGTATTTGAGGATATTTTCTATGAGATTTTATTTGTTCTGTGAGCCCATAAAATAGACATGTGTCATAAATGTGTCATAAATTAGGCCTCCACTCTTTGATTTATCATTTTGAATAAATCCTCTTTTTTTAACTTTTTATTGATTTTATTTCAAAAATTACACATTTTTCTATAATATATTTTTTAATATATCAATTTGTTAAGCGACAAAATTGAAAAAAAATATTGCTTCACCAAAGTTCAAAAATTTTAACTCAAATGAAACGCTGGTTGACTTCGTAATGGATCCAAAACTTCGAAGTTTCGAGCGAAATGATGAAGCATTTGTGGTAAACAATAAATTAATCGAAATTAATGATAAAACAATTCATCAAGTAAACATTCATATATTACTATGCTAAAAAAATTTCCTTCCCTTCACGTCCGCTAGCTAAAAGTTGTCCTCCACTTTGGGTCCTTTTTCAGAGGCCTGGAAGTTCGAAGGCTGTGTTTTAACTGCTCCTTCACCTTTTCTGAACAAATGTTACCTCGACGGTATTCCTGAAATTTACTAGACCCATTTTTCCAGCTTAGGGCAGTCAAGTGTTGGCCTTCGCTTTCCACATCTTCTCCAATTCTTCTCTTGGGCCCTTATTTTTTCGCTTCTACTTCTTCCTAATGTTCATGCCATTTAGCATCGCTGTTTCTATCAAAAATTGCCTAACCGCAGTGTTTGGTTGATTGACAGGTGCCTAACTTCCTATTTTTCCATTTCGTTATTTGTAAACAGCGAATAAAACTTGAATTTTCTCGATATTTTCAGCACTCATTTTCCAATGAAAGTTTATGCAAATTGGATATTTTGTTTGTCATCGATCGTTCAATGAGCGTCGAACATGAATTTAAAAAACAAATTGAGTTCGCGACTAGCTTAGTCGACAAACTATTCGATGAAGATTTTGTAACCCACATTCAAATCGCTGCCATAAGTTTCGCAAATGTTCGTCTAATTTTAGGCCATTTTTGCAACTTTAACACAACTTATACAGTAATCGAGAAGCACAATTGAGGGTCGTTGAGTTTCGCTTATTTTCACCAATTCGGTCATTCGCGATTTTTGCTAAATTGGCTTTGCTGAACATTTGGCGAAATTCGCTAGCGATGTGTAAACTAAAAGAAATAAAAAAACACCGTGAGAATTTACCTTCTCTTGCGGTCCATGCATGAAAAGCTTACCAAATGGAATTTATTTGACTGGGAAGTGAGATTAAAAAGTAATTTACTATTCCTAATTTTTTAGACTCCGCTAAGACACCGTCCTTAACCATCGCGGAACTTTAAGCTCATTAGCACATTTCTTTTTCTTGCATTTTTCTACTCAAATTTTCCATTTGCAAGTATCGGAAATAATTATAATACAATTGGCCAAACAAATTTGTATTAGCTTTTATTTATTCATTTATTCACTGATGGTTTAGTGGTAAAATAATTGCCTTAGAATTGAGAATGGCTCGAGTTGAGTTCAAGTCCGACCAATGCATCGTAGTAAATGGTGAATTGCGAAGATAAAACAAGCTTTGTGGATTATTGCTTAGTTTAGAGTGCCGACACTGAGGTTCCACGTCCGGCGCACTAAACAATGGTAAGTGACGTGGTATTAGAAAAAGATGAACCACTTCATTTTTCGAAATTTATGATTTTAAGTTTCGAAAATTGTCCTTTATTTTATAAAATAAAATTCAGGATGCAAAAGTGGAGATAAAATTCGATCCTATCAAAACAAAAACAGAAATTATAGAAAAGTTACGATCAATCCAGCATACTGGTGGTGAAACTTCAGCTGCTGTAGGAGTGAATCTTGCAATTCAGGTCTGCACTTTTTAGAATATTAAGCACACATGTCTATTTTTAAGCTACTGTTTATGGTTTTTTGCGGTCTAATTTCTGTAATAAAACGAAATTTTTGCCATTTTGCGACTTCGATGATTTGATTTGAGTTGTTTTCAGACCATTCGAACATCAAGAAGGCCCAACGTTCGTCTATTATTTGGATTAATCTCTGATGGAAACAGCCAAGATGACTGGACTAAAGTTTCTGAAACGGCTAAGTAAGTTGAAATTAAAGTGATTTAACCAGTCTAAATAACTAGAAATATTTTATATTTATATCGTAATGAATAGCCTTTGCAGTGAATTACATAACCTCGCTGACGTGGATACATACGCCGTAACATTTAGTAAAAAGTTCAGTTTTGCCGAACTTCATGCTTATGCGGGTGATAAATGGAAAGTTTTCATTGATGAGCAAGCCAACCAACTTCTCGAACACATATGTAATGATTATTTTATTGTTTTCTTGCGTTTTTCAAAATTGGGTAGTGTAGAGGGTGAAAGATGGCAGTGGTTTTGATATGATCAAACATCATAGGTTTGATTCTCTTGAAAGGCATAAATGTTCCATAAAATAGTGGTAGTAGAGTCCCACTTATTCTTTCGTGGACTGGCTTATTATTCTGCTAATTAATGGTGGCAACCAAATCAAAAAATGATGAATACTGCTAAAAGAGGGGGAGTGCTTTCTAATAGTGGCAGCGATGGCGTCGGATCGAGCAGCTTGGGCACGTCTTACCATTTTCGTAGCCAGCGGAGTCAGCCTAGCCAATAATGGTAAGAACTGTTAGAAAAAGAAGGCAAAACGTGTAGAATAGTCAATAATACTGAAATTCATCAAGTTATTATAGTTAAAAAATTTTAGATAAAAAGTTTATAGATAAAAAATTAAACAATTGTCGGCGAAATAAATTGCCAGAAATCGAAAATAGAGAAATTGAAAAAAAGAAATCTTCAATATGCAATGGTAAGAATATGAGTGATGCATGCATACATGCAGTATTCTTTTGTTTTCATTTTTTTTCATTTTCAATTAAAATTAATTGATTCAACTAAAAAAGGAATAATTTTAAGTAAATCTGAGCTTGAAACTGGATAAAGGAGAAGGAGATTCGTAAGCCGAAATTCCTTTTACCTCAAAACGATTAAAAGCATACGTAGTTTTGAGCCTTCTTGTCCCGGCTATTATCAAATAATTCGTTGGCCAATTACCAATAGAAAAAGAAGAAGGGATTTTAAAGTATGAAATGCGAAAATTTCGATATATAGCTTGTTAAATATTAATTGTCTAATATTACAAAGCCATCTGCCGCAATATTTGCTTTTTTGCGATATTATAGACTTAATCGACATTGTGATCGTTTTGGATAAATCCACTTCTATGGTTGACGATTTTTCTTCTGGAAAAAAACTTGTGGAACAACTTATTATGAGCGTTCGCGAAGATGATTACCTTTCTCGAATTCGATTTTCCCTGATAACGTTTAATGATATCGCCAGATCCGAGCTTGACTTGGGCACGATTGTTTCACGTGATAAAATTCTTAGCGTACTAAATGGTATTCAGCATACTGGTGGTGAAACATCTGCTGCATCCGGTTTCTTCTTGTCACTTTTTTTATTAGTGATTTCATTATCTAGGATAAACATTATAAATATATAAATATTATTATAATATTATAATATAATAATATAATGTAATATTACATAATAATATTATAATATAATATTGTTATATAATATTTTCTAAAAAGCGATTTTGAATTAGATATTTTGCATATTTATCGATAATTAATAAAGAAAAGGTAGAGTTGAAAGTTGCTTTCTATGATTCAATCATATTTTTATCATTTTTTTTATCGTTTCTTTTACTTAGGTAAATATTTAATTTCAAGAGGCAAATGATCTATCGTTATTATTTAAATGAGACAATTTAGGCATACTTTCTGCGATATCACAAATTGCACGGGGGCATCGAGAAAATGCTCGACTCATTGTAATTCTTTTGTCTGATGGGGGATCCAAAGATGATTGGCCTGTTGTTATTTCTATGTCCAATAAACTTCATGGTAATGACTTCAAGATATTTGAAAATATCAGAAAAACCACTCAAAGAGCAACCACTGTTGTAGTACTATGAAATATTCAGCAATATAAAAGAATACCCAAAAATTTCAGCCACAAACGCAGAAGTTTTTGCTGTCACCATGAGTAAAAGATATTATAAAGATGAACTTCTTATCTATGCTGGTGATTTAAAGAGGCTTTTCACAGATATGAATAGCCGAAGTGATGTATGTTTGCTTTTGTTTACTTATTTACTTTATTTATTATTTACTTTTGTTTACTTAATTAACTTCTTTAAACATAGGTTTATAAGGAAATAAATTTCAAAATATTTCGTGCAATACGAAAATATTTGATCTAATCGACAATCCATAAGGAAATTTAGTTTAGTTTTCTTGTGAAATCCTCATAAAATTTATTGAATTCGCTGAAAATTACCGCAATATTTTTGCGAAGTTATAGAAATTCCACTGCAATTAAAAATATTAATTAATATTAATTATTAACCAATTATGAGCAATATTTTACAAAATTTTTTTCTCAGGAACTTATTGAAACCATTGGTTTATCGATGTGCAGAACTTATAAGGATTTGGTGGTGGAGAATGAAATATCCAAAGAAAATGATATTGTTGATGCTATAAGAAATGTAACTGGTAAGTCTTTTTTGAAGAGTACTGACTGGTCAGACTCGCTTAATATATTTGTTAAGATCAGTGATGTGGTTTGAAATTTTTCATGGCAAATTTTTTAAGATTCTCACAAAATTTTCACGCATTCTCATGAGAAGCATTTCTTACTTGTTCATTCAAGAGGTTGTCATCAGTATTATTAATTGATAATAGAGCCGAATAGTCGAGTGATATGTTTCGCCTGATAGTGGCATAGTTTGATTTCTTCTCCCTTGACGGGAGCAAATCAGCCATTAAAGTGAGGTCTGTCGTAGTGTTTCAAATTTTACTGGAGATCCAGGTGTGTTTCAGTAAAAGGCTTCCTATCAAAAGCATCTGACTTTAATAATCAGTTAAACCGGCCAAAGCAAAAGTGATGCTATTTGATGATGACGATGATGATAATAATATTCATCAATGATCCATTATTTCGATGAATTTATAAATAGAACCAAAAATGTCCTTAAAATATCCTCAAAAATAAAATGGCTCAACGTGGTTAGTATATTCTTTGCTGAAAAAGACGGCTCCATGATAGCGAATAGCCGGTAGAAAAAAGATTCTATTATTCTGTTGGCCTGGCTTTGGTTACTAGCTGCATTTTCTCTTTTTCATGCGCAAAACTTTATCTCCTTGATATTGCTTTCAAATATTTATTGCATCATGCAGGTGCAAAAAACAGGGAAAAAGAAAGTGGGAAATGGAGGATTCATGAAGCCGGAATAACGTACCATTTGTTGAAAGCGCAAAAACTAATTACTGCTTTACTTCTATCCTGTTAATTGATGTGGACATCTCGTTTCTTTTGTTGGGTTTTTTATTTCGGTGGTTGACAATAATATTCAGTATCATTGGTGAAGCATCGACAAGTCATTTCTTTATTCATAGTGATTGGGGTGGAATGGTTCATACCAACCAATCACTTGCACTATCATCGTTGCCAAGTGGCTGGCTTTATGGCAAAGTATGGTTGATCCGATAGTCTAGCAGAGCTAAATGTGAACTTTATTGAAAAAAACTTGTCATGATGGTTGACAATACCTTCTCATTGACTGGCAGTTGTTTTTAGGTTGATATTTTATGGTAGAAATATATTGTACAAATATTTTTAGACCAATTGTTCAACAATTCATAAAATTTGTGAAAGAGCAAAGCTTTTAAATAATCGCACCAACATATTGATTAAAATTATTGTAGATTCACTCCAAACATTATCACCACAAATTACTTCTTTAATTCAACTGGCAGAAAATGTGATTGATTCGTCTTTTGCAACTGCTAACCAGGTGAAATTTGCTTAATCTTAATTTTTCAATAAGTTTTTATAATTACTCTCGTGAAACGGCGAAAGTAAAAGAGGTTAATTTAAGAATGGCCCGTTTTCACTCCTTTTTGTGCTTTACCTGCGAGTTCCCTCGTTGAGCCATTCGCCAACAACATAGGTTCATCTTTTTGCATTTTTCATGCTCCATTTCCCTTGTCTAATTTTCCTTTTGCTTACCTTATGGGTGTTATTATCTTCTAAATTTTTAAATCTTTTTCTGAATCGCTTGTGGCATGCCACTGAATTGCGCTGTACAGCTCTGAGCTCATGAAAACCGCATTGTCAACCTCTTTTTTCATTAATCCTTTCTTAATCCTTTCATAAATTTGTTGACAAGGCAATCTAACTGTTGGTTCGAATCTATCTTCTAATTTTATGTCTCAATAGTACCTTTTTTACTTTTCGCTTCGTACCCTGTCGAATTAAGTTTTTACAGATCAAATAATTTTAGATTGTTTAATTCTTTTCAATTTTCTTTATATAAGAATAATTTTTAAGACAGTGGTCGCGAACTGTGATATCGATTTGGTTTTCGTCATCGACACTTCTCAAAGTGTTGAGGACGAATTTGCAATGCAACTTCAGTTTGCAACTGATTTGGTAATATTTCTTGTTTCACTAGTTTAGAGGACTTAATGGGTTAATAAGATGAAATAAGAATAAAAATATTGTGGGCTATTCAACGAAATACTAAACATTGCACACGACCAGGCAGATCAGTGTTAGCATACAAAACTATTATTTTCCATAAAAATCAGATTGGTTCGACTCGGCGTTATTTACTTATTTCATTTGAAATTAAGTTCGAGCCTAGGAGTTATTTCGCATTTTGTAAGCACATATAAATTTTCTTCAGGTAAAGGCAATCTCACCTTCTGATCTGGGATCACGAATTCGAATCGCTGCCATCTCTTTTTACACGCAAACTGCGACGGAATTTAATCTCGACCAGTCCAATAGTAGGCAAGAGGTTTGCGCCATTTAAAATAAATATAAATAAATAAATAAATAGGTCAAAATATTAAAATGCTTTACTTACCTTTTATATGATATGAGACATTCTTTATAGATAATTTTCTCTTATCACAGGTACTGGATGCTTTATCAGCAATTAAACATACAGGTGGAGGAACGTCGATAGCGAGTGGAGTGAATTTAGCCGTTCATGAATTTGAAACGAGGGGAAAAATTCATGCAAGGTTGATAAACACTATTAAATTTCTATTTAAACTGTTAGGAATATATCTACCTGAATATGGCAGTGATAAGAACAGCATATTCAGTGAGAATAGTGAACGCTAGGCATTAGTTTGTTGACAAGACAAGCTAAGACAAGACAACAAGACATAAGAACCGTATGTATAAAAGTAGAAACGATAGCAATTACAGAAGAATGGTCGTCCTTATATCAGATGGTAACAGCCAGGATACCTGGGATAAATTATTAATTGCGGCCAATCGTCTTCGATCGATTAACGCTAATGTTTACGTCGTCACGGCTAGTTCCGATTACTTTTTCAGGTCATTTCTACTTTTCAAACTGTTTTAAAAAATTTTTTTGATTTTTTATTGTCAGGACGACTCGAAAATCTACAAGATCTTTAAGATGATATTTGATAATTTGATAAAATCCTTTTTTAGAGAATTGGAAATATATGCGGGAAGTAAGTGGTTTGTCTTTACTGATGCGCGAAAGCGCCAGTTTCTTGGAGAAGCCAAGAAGTTCATTGGCCAGTGCGAGAATCAAGTAAGTTTATATTATCAAAAGAAATGATTATTTTTTCTGCATGATTTTTTTCTTCATATTGACAACTTATCGTCAAAAAAGACCACTAAATCACTATAAGTTTGGCATTTTAAATTGACTGAGTTAATTAAACCAATAGTTAATCAAGCTAAACCAAGTTTGATCCATGTCATCCCTTAGTAGCCCATTTCATCAAATCTTCATTTCTTCCAATATTTCTGGTTTAATTCTATTATCTTCACCATAGAATTTCTTGAAAATAGAATTAAAAGCTCTTAGGAGATCACAACCTTCACTAGTGTCAGGACAACCACCAGCAGAAGCAGGCTATATTATCTTCTTGATAATATCGCGACAGTTTTACTACTATATATGAGCAAAAGAACGGCGCTTGACCTCAGTTATGCTTGAATAAATTCACCTTGTCCACTGTTCTATTATCATTTTAGATTCTATCAAAGGATAAGAATTAAAAGAACGATACTTGGCCTTAGTACCACTTAGCCTATTATGCAATTATATAGTACTATTGTAAACTGATAAATATCAATTTAATTCTTGCAGATTTATAGCACTACAAAGATCCAACGATCAACAGTTTCACCTATAATCAATACGACATTTGACCTGGAAATAGAAGAGCCAACTTCTTCTACCCTCCTCCCGTTGACAACTAGCAGGTGATTATATATCTGGCAATGAACCATAAAACTCATTAATTTCAAAGAAATATTTATGAAGACTTTTGTTCCAAATAATTTTCTTCAATCCACTATTCTCAACAATCCACTATTCTCATATTTCTATGAAGAAAATTTGCTAAAATTTTATAGAAAAACTTTTTTAAAAAATAATATAATTAGCAAAAATTTGTAGTGCAATTGTATGCAAAAACGAATTGGTAGACATTGCAATCGTAATTGATACGTCAACAAGTGTTGATAAAGAATTTGATGCGGAAAAGAGCTTCGCTCTCGATCTGATAAAAATCTTACCAGAGACTGGCTTTATTGTAAATTTCTGTTCATCTTAATCTTTCGTTATTTTAAAAACTGATTTCTAGAAATTATACGAATGGACCTTAAATATTGATAACATATCATATGATTGGCAAGCCTAGTTTCAAATGTGAAACTTTAATAGTACTTGATATCACATATCATATTTGACGACCGTATTTTTAAATGTGGGCCTTGAATATTGATATCATATCATATCAGTGGCAAGCATAGACTTAGATTGTACTTTTACCCTTTTTTTGTTTATTTCAAATTGAACTGAATATTTTTAATCAAATTTTTATCGATACTTTTTTTTAAAATATTAAGGAACAATTTGCGATAGCAATAATTCAATTCGCTGGTAATGCAAAACTCACATTTGGCTTTGGTCAAATACCTAAACGAGATGATATACTTTATGAAATTGATCGTATTGAGAATAGCGGTGGACAAACATCTTTAGTAGCAGGAATTAACGAAATTTTAAAAGAAATCGAAAGGCGGCACCGTCCTAATGCTCGGCTTATAACCGTGATTATATCTGATGGAAATAGTCAAGATTCATGGCCCGTTGTGCAAGTAATGATATTTTATGGAAATTCCTTGACGAAAACAGCTGGGATCTAATCCATGAAAAGTTTTCTCAGCCTTTTTTTGCTTCATTACCAGTCCAATTAGGCTTATAGGGTGCTTTTGAGAATAATGCATGTACTAGAATTCAAAGGAGCATAATGCAGAAATGAGATTGGTAATAAAGTCACAGTGAAAGTCACTGTAAAATGCTTAGATTGTCATACAACAACCTGGCTCTGCACCCATCAGAAGTTTAACTATCTTTAAAAGTTCCGAATATGGTGTTGAAATCCCGTACTTCTATCCTCTATCTTCTATTCTACCCTCTGACGAAAATTAATCGATTAAAATTAAAATTAATCGACCAGTGGTCAGTACAGTAAAATAATCAGCATAAAATATTATTATATATATAATATAATAATACATAAAATATTACTTACCTACTTTGCATAGGCATCTTTAATTCCACTGCTGCATTTTGCGAGAAATTCGTTAGAGGTTAATGTGAATAAAAATGTGCTATGTAGGTTCATAGAATGGCTCAGTGGGTTATTGCTCGATTGGGAACGCCGGTGCTGAGGTTTATTCCCTGCAGGAGTAAGCCTGTACAAAAATCCGGGTGATGCTGACGACTCACCTGCATTTATATCGCCAAGAGACTCCATGGCATATTGCTCAATGTGACAAGCCAGTGGAGTGAGTTTAACCAGTAATGGTGAGGACTCTTAAAAACAAAAAAGCTTCATAGGGACAAAATGGTGAATACCATCTGTTTTATACCTTTATTAAAAAAATACACGGCAACATGGATTGCCGAATTTAAAAATTTGTTTGAAAATTTTTAAAATCTTTGAAAATTCTTAAAAATCTTATCTGCAGAAAACAGCGGGAAAGCTTCGAGACATTAGTGAAGTATATGCTGTGACTCTTTCTCCATCCTACTATTATGATGAACTGAAAGAATACACCGGCTCTGATAAACGTGTATATGTTGATGACCGTATAAGTCAATTCTTGAAGGTTATCAAATTATAGTTTTGTTTCATTTGATCTTACCAGTGTATTGCTATTCAGTATCGTAAATTTTGAGGCTAATATATATTTGAAATGTTTTTTTCAGGAGGTAGGAATTTCGGTTTTAAGTTGCACTGGACAACAACGAAGAGCTAATGCGGCTTCTGATCAAATATATACTATTTTCAACAATGAGTAATTATTTTGTATATTTGATGCAAGAATGAGTTTAACTTATAGGAGAATGAGTTCCAAGTTGTAGTTGTCAAATTATTTTCACCATTCTTTTTGGTATTTCGGTTTGCAGTAGAAATCATTGTAAATAAATTCGACCTAAAGGCTGAAAAAAATTTATATACGAAAATAATTCATTGAATGCAAATTTCTCGTGAAAAAAGGAATTTATTTTTATCATATAGATTTGATTTAAATAATATCGATGTGAAATATAAGAAACTTCGAGCCAAAATTATTGCTGCACGTTTCGAGAATGTGACACTTAAGGATCATACCTCCTCAAAAAGAGCTGAATTTGCGATAGATGAAATACCAACTGTCAAAGTTTATAATAGCGAAACGAATGTACAAAAGTCGGTTATTTGAGTTTTTAAAATCCTTTTAATTCTGAAAAGTACTAAAAATATATTAGAATTGCCATTTGTGGTTGATCCTCTGGATTATTGGTCAGACAAATTTTTGCCAACTTGGCTACAGAAATGCAGATGGCCATCAACATCACTGAGGGTTTCTAAAGATAGATTTATTCTTGCCTGAACGCACATGAATAATTATGTTCACATATTTGCGTAATCTCTGATTGAAACCAATCCAGATGCAATTATTCAAAGATGGATTTGGAGATCATATTAGATGCTTCAAGTAGCCGTCAAGAAGTTTTTGAACATCAACGCGAATTGGCATTATCACTAATCGAACGACTTCCTATTGACGCTGATGAAACGCATGTTGCTGTTGGCATTAACTCCTTTACGCAGGTGCCAACGTTAAGACAAACTCTCGGACTTGGAAGAGATAAACAAGTATTTCAATTTTAACAATTTGGCTAGAAAATATTTTCACGATTTTTGGTTGGGACTACATTTTTGTAGGTGAAAAGTTTAGAAAAATTTCTGGACGCTGTTAAGAAGCACATTTTGATTTATATTGTACCATTTTTGTTTCGTATTGATTATCTCTAAGATTGCCATTCTTGACTATAGATGGTTCGTAATGTCATCGAAAATATTAAATACAAAGGAGGCAGCACCCTCACGGCAAGAGCTGTACAATTGTCGGTGCAGGATTTGCAAAGAGGTCGAAGGCCGGATGCGATACAAGTTGGTTAAATATAGTTGAGCCTTGAATTTACTTTTATTTGAAAAAACGCTATCTTATGCGCGTAATAATAAATATATAAGGTTGTTGTGTTAATGAATGATGGCATGTCACAAGATCCGTGGGATGCAGTTCTTTTGGCAAGTGACCAACTTCGTGCAACTGGAGCTGAACGTTTTGGTGTTGCTTTGGGTGAGAATATTGATCTCCGTGAATTAAAGTTGTATATTGGAAATGAAGACCGCATCTATCGTGATGGATCCACAGAGCGGTAGTGTTATTTGAAAAATACCAGCAAGAAAATTTAACTTTATTCCAAAAAATTTATTTCGAAACATTTTAGATTCCTGTCAGATGTTGTTAACCTTTTGACAGCAGGCAAGAATTGTAGCTTCTCACTTACACAGAAACCAACAGAGACAAATATTTCCAACTGTAAGCCGGAAAACTTAGATATTATTATCCTTTTTGATAATGCAGACGAAACTGATAATTTGAGCGATCCTGCAATAACCGCCAACCGATATTTACTTCTCGATATCTTAGGTAAATTAATTTCTTTGAAGCTGAACTATTCGGAAAACTTTATATAGCTGAAGCAGTGCTGAAAATTTTAAGAATGTTTAGACCTACTGGCTTCCATTGGTGTTTTTCCTAAAGTTCTTGAAACCTGAAGTTGAATAATTTTTTAATCGTCTTTTTAATTTTTCAGGTTCATTACCAGTCGAAACTGGTGCACGAATCCGATTTTCTATCAATACCTTCACAAATGAACCGAAATCTATCATAAGTTTAAGTGATCGTCAAGAGAGACAATTAATTTTCAATAAGGTTGAAACAATAAAAGCTGAACATGGAAAATCATCATATGCTAGAGTTGTAAATCATGCGTTAAAGTAATTTCTACAATAGTTTACCAATATCTGTACGTTAACCATTTTTGTCCACTTCTAAGACCTGGTCTGCTGTTTTTTCCACCGCTTTTTTATACTTATGAAGCCTGTTCCACCGTTATCCTCGAAGTTACGGTCTTCCAATTTTTATACTTTACTTTCAACTCATCTTTCAATAATTTGGAATCAGTTAGATAAATATGGCACTAGGGCACTCGACTCTTGCTGAATATCGATTTGAAGTGGGTTCGATTCCTGCCGTTTGATAGTAGAAATTGTTTCACCAAAAGTGAAATTCGAATAGCTGTTGGCAGTATAATTTTCTATGATTTTCTGGTGAAAGGATCTCATTATAATAGTAGTTGTCCGGTGCAAACCACCAAATGTGTAGGAGGAATGAAAAATATATTCATAAATGTACAATTGGATTATGACTGAAAAATGAAAAAAATTTTGACACGCAGTCCCGGTCCAAATCTCAGTCGATCCCTACCTTTCTAGAAATCCCTACCTTTAATATCTTAAACAAAATTCTCGTAAACGTTAACCCTTCAACCTTAAGATGAATAGAAGTAAAATGTAAAAACATTAGCCTATCGATTCTAAAATAAAACAAATATTTGATTCAGCGAATATGAAAAATCTCACCGCACTGATGCTCGAGGAATTTTGCTTATTGTTGGGGATGGTAAATCAGAAGACGATGAGAATAGTCGTAAATCTGCTTCGCAACGTATTAAAGCAGTTCAGTATCTATCGAATTTTTTCCTAAAATTTCTCTCACTTTTCCATTTTCCATGGTTGTTGCTCTAAGTAAACAATATTTTGGCTTAAATTTAATAAATGGTATTCAAATCGAAGCCATTTTTTCTTAATTCTTTTCCAATTTTAAGGCGAAAGGTCTGACCTGTTTCGCGGTCGATGGTAGGAAATCTATCGATTCATCGGTTCTCGCTGAATATACTGGCTCTGAGGAAAGGGTTTTCAACTACGATAAAAATGCTGAATTTGCTAGAATTTTTTTACAAGAAACAAGTGCTCCCACCAATTCGAACTGCAGCACTTATGTAAGAATATTACGTTATCGTTGATTCAGTGGAAATAAATTTTTTTTGCTCTTTGATCTCGAACATTATGAAAAAAAATATTTAAAAAAATGTTGGTAGATGATTTGCGTCGATAGTGGATTATTAGGAAAAATTTTTTTGAATATTTTTGATGGTAGTTTTATTGTTGAGATATATTCTTAATTTTTATTTTCTATCAAGGTTAAGAACACATTTCTAATAAGAATCCCTTTTTTTACTTACATAGGTGGCGAAGGTTTTCCTCAACCTCAGATCCTCTACCAGAGGCCTGGACGATCGAGAGTTCTGCTGTTTCCAGCAGCATGCTCTTCTGGATAGGAATCTCTGATATTATTTCTAATACCACTTTTCTATTTTAGAGGTTATAGTTCTAAAGTGCTGCAATTATCACTGTAATTTGGCTTTCTGCATTTTCTCAAGTTTCAGCCCTTGCTATTTCTCTAACTTCTCATATTCCTAACGTTTCTGCCACTTCTTTAGCTATATCTGATTTTTTTCTACTATATTTATATATATATACAAGTTCTAACCCTATTTTCAGAATTCATCATTTGGTCAAATTTCAAAGCGTGAAAATTCTCGCAGTGTTTCATTTGGTTTCAGAGATAAACTGAAAGATATAACAATTGATACAAATGAGATACCGAAATTCGATGAATTTAAAAAGGTTTTTAGGTCTTATTTGTTCTATTCGATTTGAAAATAGCAAATAGCAATCATATAATCGTTCCATGATTTTTCAATCAGAGTGAAATTCTTCATTAGTTTATAGTTTGATTGATAGAAGATTAAAAGTGAGCATAAAGTGGGTTGCCAATGGGTTGTTCCTCTCATTGGGGTACTCATGGGAGAATAAATGAAAAGAAAATAATGAAAGTAGCCTATCTTTCAAAAAACCAAGTGGCGATTCCTTCTATATGACTCCATGACTAAATCTAGTGCAGCCAGTGGAGTGAAGGATCGAAAGTTTCATTAAGAATGAAAAACGAATGTGTAAAAATTTGCTTAAGTTTTATGCTTCCATCGATTAGCTAGCAATTTATGATATTATTTTTCTTCAGCTTCAAGTGTGCTATTTTTAGTTCTTGGAACAAGATAAATCCTTAGTTTTAAAATCCATTAAAAATATACAAAATTCTCTCGTCGACGATTTGCGAAATACGACGCTTAGCAGAGAAGTTTCAATAAAACAGGGACGTTTATCGCCTAAATCATCGAAAGCTATTTCTGAATTACTTGCGACGACAACGATTCCACCAAGAATTTCAGCAACTTCTCTGAATTCTAAGCTACCAATGTCATTTGAATTTTCGAATGCTAGCGAACCATCTGCTATCGAAATGGTGGCTCCAGGTTATTTATTTTTTCTCGACTTTTTAGGAATATTCAATAGTCACGCAAATCCCAACCAATTTACGGTATGAAAGTTCTGTGAATTAATTTTACCTGTGGTGATGAATTTGTTGGAAAAGTGTTTATTTAATTTATTTAATTCTGTCAAAAAGAATAGAATTTCATTTTTGCGAATGAATTACAGGCTGCAAAATTGATTTAATAATCATATTGGATTCGTCTGGATCAGTTGAGGATTCTTTCGATCGAGAAAAACAATTAGCGTCTGGCATTGTTGAGCGATTAACTGTCGGTCCAAATGATTCTCGGATAGCAATTATCAAGTTTGCGGCTAAAGAGAAAGTGCGAACCATTTGGTCATTCAAGCAGATTCAAAGTCAAACCAGTATAAGAAATGCTTTAAAATCAATGACTTTTAGTAGTGGAACTACCGCTATCGATACTGCATTATTACAGGTTTTCTTTTTTTATTACAGCTGTTGAATTAATTTTTTGCCCTGCAATGATTTCATTTTGACTTTAGGCAATCGCTGAATATACACCTGGAAAGGGTGCTCGACCTGGTCAAGCGACACCTGTTTGTATTATTTTTACTGATGGTTTTGGCCAAAAGGATGCAACTGAATCAGCCAATCTCCTTAGGAGTATTATTCCTAATGTTTTCTCTGTCGCCGTTACTCGTCAGGTTATTTCTTTTTCCTCTTCTAATATTTTTGTTCTTCAAATTCAGGTCGCTTTAGATTGGTTCAACTTTGGATTTTAATTATAATTTTTTGTAGATGACGGTAAATCGACATGAACTGGAAAAAATTGCCGGATCAAAGCAACGAGTATTCACCGATGATAATATACTTCAATTTTATGCAGTGTTCGAAAAACTCAGAAAAAACTGTTAAACTGAATTGTTAAAAAGAAAAATTGAAAATTGGTTAACTTCTTCATAAGGAAATTTCACCTTTAGCCTAATATTATTTACTTTTATATAGAAAGAGATTATTAATTTTAGCCCAAATATTTTGTAAAATTCTATGAATTAAAGCGATAATTTATTGCTTTCTTCATCCATCATTCAAAAAGGCTAATTTATGCTTTAACTAACAAATTTTTTTCATAATTTTATTATTGCTGCACAATTTTTAATCACAAAATTAAGAAATATTTTGAGTTTTCCTATTTAAATTTTAATAAATTTTGCTCTATTTTAATGGATTTTCAAATTTTATTAGTGATTAAAGCAGAATATCGCGAAATTATGGAAGTTTCATCACTGAAAAAATTGTGTTGCTCGACATTTCGCGATTAAAATTGTAAATGCCTTCCTTTCAAACATTATTTTATTCAGTATTCTTTTCACTCGCTTTTACTGTCCATCATTTCTTTTTGAACGAATATTGCTCAACGAAATATTTGCAAATTTATTGTTATTTATCTATTAAAAGAATAAAATTCTTTTGAATTATGAACCAAATTGCACCACAATATATTGGTGATTCCGTTCTTTTGATGCGAGTAAACCTATCATTAAAAGAAAATCAGACTTGAATATTCGACCTCTAACACGGTCAATGTTCGGCCAATTACCAGAATATGCTCTCAGAGAAAATAACAAAAACGAATAGACCAATTTTTTTCCAAAGATCAATTGATCATTTTTAAATTGACCCAATGAATGAATTCTGTTCTGAGTTCTGAACTAAAATACTGGCAATGCTGGCGAATTTGAATTCCTTAGGAAACTAAACCAACAAGGCGAGAAATTCTTCCTTTATGAATCCATTGCCAGTATTTTTTTTCAATAAGAAAATCCCTCCAAAATTCTAATTTGATTTTGGTTTGCTTTAACGGATGATTCTCTCATCTCATTCGAACATTATATTCGATCGGCTACCGGATCTTCTATCGGATTTTTCAGCGGATTTTTTTAAAAAATTTTCCAACTTTTATTCTTTTACAACATATCAAAATATCAAAAATTTAGAAGATTTAAAATATCAAAAATTATCAAAAAAAAATTTATCCATCAAAAATTTAAAGCTAAATTTCTCTTCTACCCTTATTAAATTCACATACTTGAAAGAGATAAAAATTTTAAAATTTTTTGATTTTAGGTAAAAACAATCAACAATTGCCATCATTATATTCGTAATATTCCGCCTCTCTTTTTTCTTTATATTGCCTTTCAAATTTTTTACGCATTGATGGTTTTACAATTTTAAATAATGGTTCATTATCCTTCGAATCATTCTTCTTTTGCCACATACATTTATAAACATCCCACTCTTCAAAAGTCATTCTTCCCAATTCATTGACAAATTTTTCTTCGTCATAATCTATGATTTGTTCAAATTTTGCATTTTCCTAAAAGTAGAACTTTTCTTCAACAAATTAAATGAGTCATTAAAAAAGAACGCATGAATTTTAGTAGCTAAAGGTGCTAAGAAAATCCAGTTTCACTAATTTAGAAAGAATTTTTCCTAGAACCAGTTGTAGTCAAGCTTAAAGGGAAAATAAGAATTTATTTGAAATTTCTCATTTAAAACCCATTAAAAAAAGAAAAAAAACGAAGTGCAAAAAGGGAAACGAACTATTTTTAATTGAGGTTTTTTAGCATCAGGCATCACATATTTTCCAGCTTTTACCAAAAATTCATGACGCATTACGATTTCTTCTAAAGACATATTCGGCCAAGAAATACATTCTGTTAAATCAGTGTTTTCTAAACCCATGCAGTAGAAGAAGTAAGTGAGTTTCTTTTCCAAACTTTCAAAATTTTCCAATAATACGTAAGGATTTAATAAAACAATTTTATGTACCTGGAAAAAACCAATAAAAAACTTTTTAGAACTGGCAAAAAAATAACTCGTGAATAAGAAAAGATATACCTGACTTTTACTAAAATATTCAAAGAGGCCATCGATATTGGAAATTATATCTTTATCATCGGAAGCAAAAAGCACAGCCGGATATTGACTAATTATTAATCCCAACTGATGTCCACTCATTATATTGCAGAGAGAAAAGATATTTATGCGTTTCTGAATCGATTCAAGAGATTTTGCATTGAATTCTTCATGAAAACTGGAAAAATTCTGAGTATTAGCGATCATTTAAAAATAATTTAATACAATTTTCAATTTGATGTTTAATTTAATAAATTGATAATGTTTACAATATAATATAATAACTTAATAATATTAATATTAATAATAATAAAGTTAAAATAATTATTAAAATAATTATTTTAGCTTTATTTTAGCTTTATTTACAACTGGTCAATCATTCGATATAGCGAAAATAAAAGATTTTTAATGCTAAATTCATCTAATTAATTAATAATTCATGAAAAAATAATGACAGACGACGCAAAGAACCGCATTGAGTCCTCATATGTCAAACCACACGAATCGACTAAAAGATTGAATGTCGCCAAAGTCGAAGGTCCTTTTTGGATAAGACTGCGAAAAAGCTCGGGTTTTTTAACGCAAGCATCGATTAAGAATTCCGGCCTTACACCTGAAATTTTAATTAGCACATAAAATATCTTCTTCCATTAGCTCGTACCAATATTGGTTAGGTTAGTTTCTCTGGATGCAAAGGTGAGGCGCATCGAAAAAATATATAGAAAAAATTAATATGAAAATATGACAAATCATCAGGATAAATTGCAACAACAAACAAGCAAAAAAAATGGAAGAAAAAAATTACGAAATTAATTTCAAAAAAAACGAATATTTATTTTTTATTTATTTTATTCTTTTCTAACAGTACTCACCATCTCTAGGCTCGCTTTGTTACCTTGGTAGACCAGATAAATTTTGTTAAAAAATCATTTAGTGATAGAAGCACAAATGAGTCGTCAACAACACTCGGCTTTGAAAGACAGGTTTATTCCTACCAGGAGCAGAATTCTAACAATGGCAATGAGAGCAATGACCCAATGAGCCATTCTATTCTCAATATTATTATTATCTTTACCACTTTTTGATACCATTATTATCATATATCATCACTAAAATTGTCATTTATTATTTATTATTACTATTGTTATTCATTATTGTCGCTACCACTATCATTATCATTTATTATTATTACTACCATTATCATTTACCATTATTCTCATCGTTATTATTTTACCAGTTATTATTATTTCATTACTTGCATTATTGTGCTAAAACCTATTTTATAAATAATAAACCATCAGATCGCTTGTCATTGCATTAAGCTTCAAAAATGGGCCAAATAAGTTTCTTATTGATATATGAAAAAATTACGTTTATATTTAGAATAGAGTGCAATTTGTTTTTCGTCTAGTAAAGCTGAATTAATCAAATCAATTGAATGTAAATGGTACATTTTCCAAGGATATTTTTTAAGGTTCTTAAATGCTATCCTTTCTTCTTCGCTCATTATTATTATTATCATCTCTATCTTTTATAATAATAACAACCAAGATTTAAAAAGTTTTACCTTCAGCCATTAATTCGTTGAATGGTGCAATCATGTTTTGCAGAAGTTCCACATTATTCATCGGCAAAATATATGTTATAGCTTCTTTCTTTAAATCATCAATAATTCTTTGCAGCATTCGCTGACCTCCTTTAAGTTCTTCTGGTGTATATATTTGCTTTTTATCATCACAAGGCAATGAAAAGGTGCAACCAACTGTCATTTCTTCGTCGTCAGAAATTGCTGCTTTTCGTGAATATAACCGATCTCCATGTATCTAAAAAAAAATAAACAAAAATAAAAAAATTCATACTGGGAAAATTTTTTGCCTTTTCTGTTTCTGAAAGAAGCTCTGTAAGAACTCTGTAAGAGAGAAAAAAACAAAATTTAAATTTAGAAAAACAAAAACAATGGCTATTTATCTCAATAAAAATCAAAAAAACTGTTTAATTAACTTAAAAATGATTAAACTGATGACATTTTAAGTGATGCTTTCATAAATTTGCACACTGCATACAAAATAATTTTATTTATTTATTTCAAAAACATCGGTCAAATTTTTTATAAACTGCGACATTTTGTTTAGAAATGCCACATTTAAAATTTTTTTTAAAATTTTTTTGAAATGTATTTCAATTAATCGCTGGTTAGACTAGTTTACTGGACCAAATAAACTTTGCTAGGGATTCGCTATCGATTACCAACATCACCTGGATTTTTGAAATCTTAATCGCGTCAGGAGTGGTGCATCAACATTGAGGTTCCGAAACAACAGCAATGATCCACTAAATTTAATTTCCATTTAAAAAAAATAAATTCCATAATTGAAACAACCTTATAATCTTTATTATAATGCGATGTAGCAGTTTGAAATTTGAAGAAAATTTGCATCGATGAAGACATACGCTTTATTATTATTTGCGAATATGTACGATATGTTATGAAAGTAAAATAGAAACTGAATCGCCAATTTAACATCTCTAAAAATTTTTTAAACGATTTAAGGTGGACTGGAAAAATTTTTCTCGAACATGAATAATTAATAAAAATATTTATGAATTTATCTAAATGTATAAAATCATAAATATGAGCGCCGGAGAAGAGCAGTGATTAAGGCAGGAGAGTAATATGGAATGTAACAACAACGGTTCGAATTGCAGCCAATAAATACTCTCTACCTTCCCGAAAGACTCCTTACTCGAGATCCTCTGAAAGCTTATATGCCTTATTTCAATCTCCTAGGTCTCTGGAAGAAGACTCGAGGTGACCCACATCATTCACAAGAGGTGAGAAGGGGATTTTATATATTCACAAAAAATTTATTAAAATCGCTAATTACACATATAGACGTAATAAGAGCAATAATTAATTTTTTTTTAGAAGTCTTCACTATTACTGATTAAACTCGCTCCACTGGCTTGTCGCATTGGACAATATGACAGGGAGTCCTTGGCGATAGAAATGCAGGTGATTCGCCAGCATCACCCGGATTTTTGTATAGGTTTACTGTTGCGGGGAATGGAACCTCAGCATCGGCGCTCCAAATTGAGAAACAACCCACTGAGCAATTCTATCACCCAATCACTTAATATAACCAGCCTTTCACCACAGAGCTGTTTGAGGATAGAAATACCCGAGGACCGCCACCAATCAGCCAAATTTTAATTCTCTGGCAAGTTTACTTAGGTTTACTATAACTATTATAACCGTAAAGAGCGAAAACAATCACTTCGATAAGAACAACAAAATTCAAAAAAAACCCATAAAGCTGCGATAGAATTCTTCGATTTACTCGATTATAAGCCGAGAGTTATAAAAATTTACCGAAGTGCTTATGCTGGTCCACAAATTTTTTAGCTCTTAAAAATTATTACGGGACCAACAAACCGCTTTTGCCTGAAAGGTTTATTTCTACCATTTTTCATCACAATATAAATTAAAAATAAAGAACTTCACGTAATTATTTATTTAGCCATCATTTAAAAAAAATCCACTGTATAGTATATTAAGTATTAAGAACATTAAAAATGCGAATGAACGATTAACGAAGCCTCGAACAGAAGAAAGAAATCGCGATATTAATATCTCTGATAAAAAATTTTAGAAATAAAAGTTAGATGAGCGATGTTTTACCAAATTAATGACATGCTCCGCCGATACCTAGAATGGCCTTAGTGGTCCCAAGGGATCCATAAACCAGGCTTTCAAAAGCACTGAATTGCACATATCAGATATCTTCGTTTGTGAATCGAAGCACTAGCGCATTGACACTACGATTGCTCTCTCAACCGTTCTTTTCATTAGCACGTTTTCATTGCCTCTCTGCTCATCTTACGAGATAACAGTTAAAGTGAAAGAACTAAGACCACAATAAAAAAATCCGTTTTCGATACCTTCTAGTATAAATTATTGAAAATAAGTAAAAATACCAAAAATATCCTAAACATCGCCATATTATGGATATAAAGGTGAACGAACGAAGTCTCAAACAGAAGAGAAAATCACGATTGGTTATTCATCAAGCAAAATCAAAATTGTACAGTTTAGTTATAATAGTTTAATAATTGCATTTGACTAAAAAAAGCATATAAATTTTTAAAATATAAATTCATATGATCGATAACGATATAAAAATAGGAAATCAATAGAAAATGCAAAATTTATATTAACAAATTATTCATTCATCTTCGGGTTCAATTTATTCCAGTGAAAAATTATTACCCTTGCATGTAAGCATTTTTCTTTCTCCTCAATAAGCAAAAAAGATCTCAAACTATTATTGACTATTTGCATATAAAAATTTAGTTAAAACAAATTATAAATATTAAATATAAAAAAAAATGAGCGAGATTAAAGCAGCAATGGCCAAATATGCTCAAAAAATTAAAAACAAAATTAAAATTAATGGAAAAACAAAAAATCATCAATAACACATGTACTGAATGAACTGAGATACTGAAAATATTAAAAATCTTAATTCTAAATAATAAAAAGAAATATATCAATTTCAAAACCTTCTTTATTCTTTGCCTTTTCTCGAAATCCAATCATCTTGGATCTTTTTTAGATTGAGATGTTTTGGCTACTATAAATTCAGGCTCAATTTTGAATCAATAGCCATAAAAAAATGGAATTTTATCAATCAAATTTAAGCTTATTTAATCCATTATGTGGCTATTTATATACAAATTCAATTTATCTTTGTTTAGTTATAATTTCTTATACCAATTTCACCGAAAGACCACGAGAATACTGACGAAATCAACATATAATTACATCATACGAAGCTGATAATCACCATTTTGTGTAATATATCGTACCCAAGGAAGAGCTTGATATCCACTTTTTTCGATGATTTTAAGATAACGTACCTAAAATAACTTCAATTTTAAAATTCACTTTAACTTTACCAAGTTTGCCAAACTTCACCTCAAAAAATTTTTAAAATAAGTGCACCTGAATTCCTGATGTGGTGAAATAAGGTATCTCAAACTTGACTTTCATAGGTGGTTTGCCTTCACGATCTTCACATTGCACGGAAGGTAAATTAAAATGAGCTCTCATCAAATATTCCTTGCCTCCTTTAAAATAATTAACTGATTAAAATAAAAAAGAAAATTTATAGCAATAATTTAGCATTAAACACAAAGTTTATTGCAAATATTAATTCAGCCAGTCAGAAGGCAAATATCCATAATTTTTAACCTGGAAAGCTTTTTATAGTCCAAACAAATGAACATTGTTCTGGTGTGTATTTAACACTTCCAATAGATGTTTTAAACTTTGGAGAATCTGCATCGCTAGGCACAGGAATTATAATTTCCACATTATTAGCCGTAGACCGTCGTTTGAACTGTGACTTTGCCTGAAACGATCGCATATAGTGATTAAAATTTAATCTGAGGAATGATAAAATTTTAAAAAACTAGAATATTATAAATATTAAAATATTTCGACTAAGCTTGCACCTTAACCATATATTCAACTCTCGAGTGCGTATGCCTCTCAACCACAGCTTCGATCCATATAAGTGGTTTTACGACAGTCATTAGTCTATAATTCATAAGCTCAAATTCCCCATCAGGAGGAATGAAACTAATTGTCCGATCATTTTCAAAACGAGATAGACGAACACACTGATGAAATTTAACATCCTCGAGTTCAACTGATTTCGTCTTTCCACCTGAAAACAATGCCATAACCTTAAGAGTTAAAAAATGAAATTCGAGTTCTGACTTTTCACCTCTCAAGAAAGCATTTAAAAAATAAAAAAAATGAAAAGCATCTAAAAAGAAAACTGAAAAATTAAAACTAACGCCCACTGTTCTCGAAAAGCACTTTATCATTGAGACCCAATCTTAATTCAGGCATCCCAGTTAAGAAAACACGCATTTTGACCGATCCAACAATTTCACTTTGTAAAACAGTTCCATTGGCATTCGCCTATAATAAAATAATTCTTTTCGGTGTAAGAAAAAAATTTTTAATGCTGAAAATAGATAATAGAATTGCTGCTATCTTTTGCGTTCTGTCAACACAAATATTGATTCTTCAAAATTGAAACACAAATAACTAACCAACATATTGACTGATTCAATTACATCTAAAAAAACTTCATTTTTCCTATATTTTACACCTTCAGATCGCCATGACACTGCATTTGTCACTGCCATTGGAGGTCGAGGTGCAATTTCCAGTTTATATCCCTCTTGGGTTATAAACCTAATAAATTATTTGCAGTTAATAATATCATTTGAAAACTATTAATAATAAAATTAATCTCTATTAATAAAACCTGTTCTTAAATAATTTTGGTTATTTTTTTTTGTTTAGAATAAAATATTTAAGAAAAAAAAAAACAAAACAAAAAATCTATAGTCTACATACTCTTGCAATATTTTTCCTTCAGTTGTCTGCGGATATCCAAAATCCATCATTTCATCAAGCAGTTCATATATTACAACAAAATTATCGCGAATTGATTCTTCCTCAACATCTTTGAAATATTCTCCGAACACTTCGATACATTTATATAAAAAGGTCAAAACCAGTGCAATGTTCACATTCTTTCGAGATGTTGACACAACTAAAGAAAAATATTCGTAAATTTCTAAATTTTTACCAAAAAAATATAAAAGGCTTTAAAACCTATAACGCCAGTAACAATTCTAACAGCCAGAAACGGTGAATGCTATTGCAAATTTATTTGAAAAGAAACAAACAGAGCGAGAAGCGCCACACATTTTCATTAAAAATAATATGCAAAATATCAACATAAAAGCATAAAGCAATTATTTTAAAAATGAAGAAAAAAACCTACAATAAAGATTGGAATGTTTAACGTAAATGAAAGTAGCACGTTGATGATGAAGAACGGGTGTCTGACGAGCCTCTTCTTCACATTCCATTAATAAAGGCATGAATTTATCAATAATTCCCATATCAATATCTCCGCGATAATTTCTCGAAATTATCACCTATAATAAAATTTCTTTAACGCAAATTTTGAAAAATATGAAAGATTTAAGAGAATAAATAATAATTCATGAAATAATGTTATTCAGGGAGCATTAAATGTTCTGATTTATTGACTAAATAATATCTACCATTTTATTATCATTATTATTCTTATGAAATAAGTTCAATAACTTTCAGCTCAACTTTCGCCAATATGTTTCAATCCAAAAAAATTTTCTAATTCAAATGCCAATTGTATATATCGTCTACGTTTTAACAACAAGAAATGGCGGAAGGTATTGATAAGGACTATATTCTTTCTTCCAACAACATTCCTCAATACCTCAAGCAACATCCTAAAATTCTATGTTAAGAGAAAAGAAACAGCGTCAGTTGACGAGACTACAAAGTAGACTATTTCTGGTCAACCTGGTGCAATAAGAAGCGAAATTGCCAAGGCGCCACAAAAGGGCAGCGACACAAGCGGTAGGCCTCACTCTACTAGCTAGGGAATCATTTGAGGGAAGAGATGAGCACCCGGCATCAACCTTGTTCCAACACAGCTCGGAGATACGGTCAGCACTCCAAGCAACAACACCTCGGCTCTGCCCCACTGATACGCCGACCGACGTGTTTCTTAAGTTCGGTTTCTTTTCGCCAACTAACTAGAAATCAGTTAATAAATTAAACTGCGTCGATCCCTAACTCCGCAAAACAAAAAGCCAATTGAAATTTATCCAAAGAAACAAAAAAAGAGATTACTTTGCCTTTCAAATCGAGCACGAATATCGCTGAAGAAGACATTTTTTTCCTTTTTGAAATAAATTATTTGGACGAATTAAATTTAAAATGAAACAAACATTCAGCGAAGAGAAAGTTTTCAGCATCTAACAAAACATTTCTAAAAATTAATATATTTTTATAAATTAAATTAAATTAAATTTATTTCGGATATTTTTTACTTAAAATTTAAAAAATTTTTCAAAAAATACGGACGAATTCTGGAGAGATTCTAAGTCGGGTTTGTCTCCTCAAATTTTACCATAAATCTTTTTAGCAATTAACTAAATATAAATCCAACGTAAATACAAATATTTAACGACATTAATCAACATCGCACCCAACCAAACCGCAAATATTTCTATTACTAAGAGTCGGCGTCTGAGAAAATATCTAATAGTCGGACTACCTACTTCCATCTCATTTTATGTAAAAGCAATTGTGGCGACAATGAATTGGAGAGGCATGTGAGATTAGGAAGGGGAAGATGTCGTCTCCATTTTGCAAAATTTGCTATAGCTCGCTAAGTGGACAGCGAAGTAATCCAGGAGAAGAGCGGTCATTACGCTTTCCTCATTGTTCTTGGAACCGACATTTAGCAGCAGCGGTTCATGCGACATCATAAATTCAAAAGCGCGAGCCACTAACCGAGCGAAATAATCTCTATAGTTCGGAAGCTTAGGATGAAATCACCAAAGGTGGTGAGGTGAACCCTTTAAATGCTGTTCAGCGCAGTTTCAAAGAATGCATTCACTGATGAGCATGCTGAAACAAAGCAGTCAGATTCCCAGTTTAGAAGAGCAGCAGATATCTCTAAGAAGGTTTGTTTTTGTTCTGTTCTGCTGAATAGCCTTCTGACAGTGCGTGATAGTCCCAAGCAGGCTAAGCATCAAATGCTCACTGAGTGGAGCGAAAAGTTTCGGCAAACATTCGGTCAGTTAAAAAGCCCTAAACTAAAAAAAATGCAAGAAGAAACATAGAGAAGAATGAAAATTTTTATCACGAAAAAATGGATCGAAGCAAAGAAAATAATGGAAAACTTATTAAAAATTCATCATTTGTAAAATTCATGGTTGTATAGACAAACATTTTTGTCGGTTATTTCGTATAAATTATGCAAAATACCTTTCAGCGAATATTTGAGATGATGCAATTACCATCGCTTTCCATCTTTTTCTTCTGCTAGTATATTATTATTTTTCTTTTGGCTCGGTTCACTGGCTATTAGGCTGGGGGTTAGGTTGAGGGATCCACTGGCTATCAGGCTGAGGGGGTTCCCTTAGGTGTTCCCTTCAAAGAATCACTTAGTAACAACGGTACGATTTGGTCTCATAGAAGCTAATATTTACATATTTATATTTACATCATCTAATGCGCCTTATGAATTTATAATTTCTTTAAGATTAAAAAAGTTCAAAAACCAAAAATCTCTTTAATTTCTAATTTATTCCATCGATCATATCAAAGAACTCGACTCAGTAGGTTCAGCGAAATTATTTTCAATTTTATTTTTGCCTCTGACCACATTTTCTTTTTCTATAACGCTAAGGCAATTTTAACCGACGGTTGATCAAATATTGGATATCTCGTCAACTCTTATAACACAACATATATGGCTGGCATATTTAGCATAGATTTTATTACAAGAATGAAGATTCCTACTATTTGTGGTACTCCATTCACCTCATCGTCAGTTTCATCCATGACCGCACCGAGAAGAGTCTTTTAATCACCTCTTTCTTACCACGCAGTTTTCTCAAATTCAACATGAATAATCATGTTGAATTCAGGAGAGAAAAAAGAGGAGAGGATTGCGGCGCCTGCTTGAATCAAGAGATGCAGCATAGTCGAACAGAGCTATCAGCCATTTTGAATTTGCCGCTTTACGAATCGCGCAGTGATGTCGCTCTTATATCGACCTTTCAGGCAAACTGGCTATTAGGCCGAGGCAGTGCCTCATAGCTTTTCGCTCTAATTCGGTCTTTTTTATTTTTTCACTGAAATTTGCCTCAAATTTCCAATAAAATTTCATTTTAATGCCGAGGCATTGAAATTCTCGAATTAATCCACGGTTTATCCTTAATTAATCGCTTTTTCAAATCATTCGTATAATTAATTAATTTTTCCAAAAATGTGAAATTGTTGCTAAATTATTTAAAAATTTTATTTTTATTTGTTAATGGCGAGTAAATTTTGCAAAAATTTAATAAAAAAGTGCAAAAAAAATTAAAAAATTAAAAAAATAATGGGAATAATATAACAACGAATGACAACTGTTCGTAGCAAACTTAACGAATTTTTTATTGCAATTCTTTATAAGTTTAATTTTTACAATTTTTTTTCTCATATTTCCAGTATTATATTTCGTTTTATTTCAAACAATATTTAGTAATTTTTTAGAGAAAAATAAATAAGTAATTAAAAAAGTTATTATCATACAAATATCTTTCAAGCGTACTTTATTTTCTTTATTATGATTGCTTCATTTTTTACGTGATTTTTCATTTGGTATCGATATTCGAACACTTATCATCGAATATTATCATCTGAAATTCCTTATCACCCGATGCTGTTTTTAATCTGAACCCACTTGTCATTCGTATTTACTTATCATCTGAAACTTATTTATCATTTGAGGCGAATTGTGGTCTGAAACTATATATTAAATAAAAAAGTGCAAAAAAAAATTATTTATCTCTTGAGATTATTTCCGCATCTGAGAAGACTCGTTTAATACAACTTCCTGAAGATTTTCAGCTGGAATAGTTTTTCTTCCATGATAAAATATATTGTTTCTTTTGTAAATCGAGAGGAAGCTTATAAAAAATTATTTTAAAAATTATTTAATATTTTTAGGTGAAATGTAGAAAAATAAGAAAAGAACAACGATGGGTAAATCATTTGATTTGGAAATATTACGTGGAACTGAAGAAGTTGGTTATAAAGAATTTCCTTTTTTGCAAATTTAAATTTTTATAGGAATTTTTATAATTTATTGAGAGAATATTCGTTCAGAAAAAAATTTTTTTTCAATTAACTAAGTAATTTATTTGAGAATATTAATTTTTATCGGAAATATTTCCATTAATATCAATGAAGAAGACGGAAAAAAATTAATAAAAAACATTCAGAAATTTTATTAATAAATTAATAAAATAAATTAAATAATTGCAAAAAGCTTATGAATTTTTTTCAAAAAATATTTGATTAAAAAATGCAAATTTTTGCTCTAAAATAATTCCAATTAGCAAATATTTTTTTATGTAAATTTGCCACATTTCATTCGAGTAGAATATATATGTTACTGGAAAAATTATGCTAAATAGAAGCAAAATAGAACCACAAATTGGAGCTCGAAAAATTTGAGCTGTTGAGACGAGCAGTGAGCTTTGCACATTCTGTCAACTCTGTCCGTTATTCGTGGATGAGTCAAATTTTTTTAAAACGAAATTTGCATGCCTTTGGTCAAAATTAATTTCCATTCCGTCACTAAATTCTGTTATAACACGAAAAATACTCAATTACAATTCTCTATTAAGCGAAGAATCGCGCATTTTTCCATTTATTCATGCATTTGCCATTAAAATATTTAAGGCGAAGTGATACTTTTCTATCAGCAGAATGTTCTGTTAACAGTGACTTCGCAAAAACCGCTCATGTGTTAGCAGCGAGTGAAGCAAATTCTCCCAGATATGGCATATTATAATAAATGCTTTAGTCTATGCGTGGGCAATTATCTCAGATTTTATATAAAATTATCACACCGAATCGACGTTTAAGAATTTCTCATTAAATGCATCTTTTCCAGTTAATTACTATTTCTTCGACCAGCAAAATATTGAATTATTTTTATTTTTCTAAATTTTTTTATCATTTAATCTTTAAAATTAACTTTTAAAACGCTTTTGTAATTGTTTAATAATATTATTTAATTCACTGCAAAAAAATATAAAAAAAATTAAGAATTACAATAAAATTTCATTTGTAAACAAATTTACTGATATTTAAAATATTAACTTTGTTTAATCTTAATGCAATAATTTTATGATAAAATTTCCACTTTTTTAAGAATTTTTTATTCAAAAAGTTTCATTTTTTCTTTGATAAATTAAATAATAAAAAAATATTTTGCAAAAAAACAAAAAAGAAAAAAATTTGATTAAAAATTTTAATTTTTCATAAATAAATTCTGATTAGATAAATAAAAAATTCTAAATTAGATAAATAAAAAATATCGAAAAGTGCTTGAAAATATAAAAATATTTTGCAAAACATTTGCATTTAATCAATATGTTTAAATCGATTTGAGGAACAAGTTTTCGCTTCAATATTTATTTTATTTTTTTATTATATTTTAGCTTTTCCAGAAATTTTCACTCCATTTTCATTTTAATTACTTATCTATTTGAAAAATTTTTCTTTCAATTTTGTTTTAATGATTTTTATTTTTAATAATTTTTTGAAAACCAACCAAGCAGGGCGGCAAGCGCCACTTGCTTGTATTAACAACAGTTAACATAACAAATAATGAAAATTAATGATAAAAAATAAAATGAAGTAACAAAAATTAATGAAGTAAAGAGGAAAAAAAGAGGAGTTACAAAATACGTACAAATAAAACAGTTTGAAATAATTGTATTATTTATATATAATCGAATGGTAAGAATCAAGATTTCAAACTTTCTGCGTGATGTGAACCTTTTAAATAATATCATAAATGATATAATCTAATCTTTTTTTAAAGATAGCATAGATAGCTAGAGATGGCGCACAAGCAATGTCGTTCGGTAATTTATTCCAGTAATTAATATTACGAATAAAGAAATCATGAGTCCTTAGTTTAGTTTTACACATAGGTTGTAGTAATTTTAGCCCATTAGTTCTTGTTGGATTCAAATTTAACCTAAAATTATAATATTTTGAACAATCTAATTTAACATAACCATATAAAATCTTATAAGTTAAATTAAATCTTGTTTAATACGACTGATAGAGAATCCAGGTTGTATTGTGCTTTATAATTA